CTCTCAGCACTGTGGTTACACTACTGCCTCAGCAGCATTTGACCACAATAACCAGCTACGAGATCAATTTGGGGATCTTGTTAAGAAGCAAAACAAAACATAATCTTCTGTTGTGGATAAGGAGCAATGTCACAATTTTCCTTGTCCTGGAAGGATCATCTCAAGCCTCCCATTCTAATAAAATCAAAGAATACTTCATAGATACTGGCACAATCTTCCCTCCACAAGGCTGAAAACATTCCTTGCTGACAGAAATACAGAAAATCAGTGGCCACCAAATCAGGATAATGTTAAATTGCTAGAAAACAGAAGAAAGAAGTCTCCACTGCCAGGATCCTAAAGCACAATTTCTAACATCTGATAACCTGTTCTTGTGGTCTCAGGTCACTAGTTCTGTTTCAAAATCAGTCATTCAGTTTATTTGTTTATTATAAAAATGACACAGTAGTAAACAACAGAATTATAAATGTGACTTGTATTATCCCCTTTGCCCAGAAACATACAACAGATGCACATGCTCTCCTTAGTCAAAGGCGATAAAAAAATCATAAACACCAGCCACTGCATCAACCTCTGACTGACCACAGTGTAACCAAACACCTTTAAATACAGCAGATACCGAGTCATAGTGTAGAAAGAAATGCAAAAGAAAATTTTATCAGGGTGATTCTGATAAGATCCTGACAACAGGAAAACATATTGAGGCACATCAGCCTAATTTCTTATGAAAAATGGGAAAGAAAGTCTTCTACTGGGAAGTACCAAAATACCTGTTCTGGTTTCTGCTGTAAAAGATCTACAAGAGGTCAGGAGGCCAGTAACTCTGCTATTGTTCCAAAGCCTCACTGACTTACATCAAGAGGAATTCCCCTTGAAATTTTCCCATGTAATGTTTTTTCCCTTACTGAACTAGCTGACATTAGCCCATTTTGCTAGAATAGGTTCAGATCTTTGAGCTATCAGAAGCTCTAGAGCAATTAAAAGAAATACACTCTGATTTGGATACAACGTGGTACCTCTGGATGCAGTCAGGCAATAATTCTATCATTTCGCAAAGATGTAGCACAACGAGATTACACCTTGAAATGAAATCAAATTTAATCCTGCAAAAAGGAATAACTCCAGCAAAATAAGACCCGAGATTGGAGTTGAAAGCAGCCCTCACTCTAATGCACAGTTATAAGGCGATAACAATGGGATTGAGGTGATTAACTATAAACAGAAATAAACCTCCCATGTCAACTGTTTAACTGACAATCTAGGAGGGCTCAGCAAGCTTAGGCTGCTAAATAAATTCGACAGCCTCCCAAAACATAAGGAGAAGAACATTCGAATAATGGTATAACTAACCATTCAGATTTTGCTGCCACAAAGGTGATAATGGTTCTGCATTGGTGCACATGCCGACTTTTCTGCTAGCTAGATATTTTTTTTCAGAGTACACAAGTCAGCAGGGTGGAAAAAAATCCAGTTACATATGAGAGAAAATACACTAACTGCAATACAGGATTTCTTTTGTCAATTTTTTAAAATGATACCTCTATATGAAGTGTTTATGTTTTAAACAGAGAAAATTTTTGGCAATATTGAACATGTGCATACCACAAAAGGACAAATCAATGGTTGAGGCCGAGTTAGAGTGTTGGTTTTCAGTTCTAGCTTGGACATAAAACTAAGCTTATATGAAAGAGGTTTTACAGCACCTGCTTTATCTTTTAGCCTTTTCTTCCATACTGACTCATTCAGCACTTCCAATATTTCCAAAGCACTGAAGAATTATCTGAGGCAAAAAAAAAAAAAAGAAGGAAGAAAAAAGCCATAATAATTGCTGACTCTCATATGGCATTAAAAAAAATATCTGTCTCCAACTCCCCTACATCCTAAGCAAGGTTGCTGCCCCTTGTCTTTGCCTCCTTGCTTCACATACATTTACGAGTACAGTTTGCCTTCTTTTTGAAGCAGTAACTACAACAAAAAGGCAAAACAAAAAAAAAATCAGTTTACTGGATGCTTGTGACTGACCACCTTCTATGCTGGCCAGTCAGGTGTGCTGGGGCATTACTGGAGTGCAGGTTTCTGGTCTTGATGCAAACAACACATTTCCCAGTGTCTAAGACCTTTACTGCCATCAATCATGTCCTTAGTTATCAGCACAGGCATTCTTTCAACCTTGCTCTTTTATTTCCTCTGGTGGCTTTACACACATTTATTTCCAGTCATACTTTTTTTCATACCACTCTAACTTTTTCTGTCTATCTCTATGTACTGGCTTAAATGGCTTTACCTCTGAGCTGTTATTGAAAGGAAGAACCTGCATGACCCTGACTTCACACTCCTGTCCCTTGATTTGAGTCACTGCTAGGGAAGACGTGGAGGTGCGTGAGTTACGCCAGCCTGAAAACCAACCCTGCAGCAAAAGGATCAAGTTTTGGTCAGATGAGTGAGCAAGCATGGCCTGCTTTGCAACCAAATAATCATGACTGTTGGCAAAGAAGAAAGGAGGGAAGGGAAACACGTGCCTAAGAGTGGCAGACCACTGCTTCCAGTGGCAAGCAGCACTAAATTTAGCTTAAGCCAATGTCATACAACGCTTGCACAAATAAGGATAAAACAATAATTTTGATTCTGCCATTACCAACCCCTCAGGCCATACTTAATTATTTCACAAGGAACGGCTGAATGAGCTGCAAAATATTCAGTATGCACTGGCTCACCGCCCTGACAGAGTCTAAGCCTACCTACTTAGGCAAGTAGATAGACAAAACTTAGGTAAGTTTTGTCCACCAGCATTTTGGCTGGTATTTTATTTTGGAAGAATTGCCTAGTGCCCCTCTTCCTTCCTCTTAAAACATACTTTTTTATTATTATTTTTATTTTGCTCCCTTTTATTGCTCTTGCGAGTCTAATCTTACGAACAGAGTTGCATGACCACACATTCTTCCTAGAACACAATTATTACTTGAGCTTAGGCAAGACTGACATTGAGTTACAAACACTGCTACTGCATAGAATCTTAGAATCACAGAATCCTTAAGGTTGGAAGGGACCTCTAGAGATCACCTAGTCCAACCCCCCTGCACACGCAGGGTCACCTAGAGCACGTGGCACAGGACTGCATCCAAGCGGGCCTTGAAGATCTCCAGAGAAGGAGACTCCACCACTCTCTGGGCAGTCTGTTCCAGTGCTCCGTCACCCTCACTGCTAATAAATTTTTCCTTAAGTTCATGTGGAACTTTTGGTGCTTCAGTTTGTGGCTGTTTCCTCTAGCTCTGTCAGTGGCCACCATCCTCCCTGCTGCGCCCCGCGCCCAAGCAGCGGTGCCGCCATGTGGAGTGGGCGCATCTCCTTTTCCAGTATGAAAACAATGCAGAATATCTAATCAGAGTAGGGCTTTATGGCCTCTCATTCCGACGACTGTAATTTTTGGGACCCAATAAACCTTTAGTGCTGTAAGAAGGAAGTAATCTTGGTCTCCCTTAGAGGGATCCACCTGCTCTTTTCACAGTCATGACTTTGCCCAGTTCAATTCTTGGTCTAGATATCAAACCAGAAGATCTCATAATAAGTGTAAATTTACTGAGCAGAATGAGACCTATCTTTAGAGACATCCATCACCATCACATCCATTTATGAAATTACAGAACTCATCTCTTTTTTTTTAGAAACAAATTTAAAGTCACTGTTTATAAAGAACTTATCAAAAACATAATGCGAATGGGATGCCAGAGGAATAAATTACTCTCTCATCTGAAATGCATAATTAGCTTTTGGTTAAGTGTGCAATTAACATTAAAATTTACAATTAAGTATGATGATGTTCTAATCTTACCTTCTTTAAATGAATAAATGAATTTAGCTTCCAGCATTACTTCTTTGAATCCCCTCCCTTATCAGGTGAGTTTTGCAGTAGCATCCTGTCATTCAGGTGACAACTGACACAAAAAGCTCTTTAAAACATTGCATTTTTGCCTTCTGGGCAGCTACAGCTTGGGGTCTGCTTTCATTTAGGCTTTTCAGTTTTTCATTGGCAGCTGCCACTCAGCATAAGTAGCAGTTGCTACACTTCCCTTTGCCATGATGCTTCCTGCAAAAACAGAATGATGTTGCTTTGCACCTTCTTCCCAGCTGTGCTTACAGAATGAGATGTGGAATAAAAAGAAAAAACACAAAAATATTTAAAGTTATTTCATTTGACCACACAAAGCCTCGTTGAAGACTTCACCTTACACCTGGGATGGGTTAAGAGCTCAAATGTAGTCACTTAAGAGGACTCAGCTGACTCAAACCTTGACTTTGACAACATACTCCAAAGTACAGACACAAAGAGCTTCAATTCTCTTCAAAATTAGAACAAAAATACATCATCTCTTATGAGGAAAAATGGAAATACAACACATCTAAAAACTTGTTACAGTTTTAATTCTGAGGTGCTCAGAACCCAGGACAATCAAGGCAAGTAAAACACATGACAGAGACTGGGAACTCCAATACCCTGCACCCTTCCAGCATGCAACACACTGGCAAAGGGTGGGCTGCTTTTCTCTCGCAGGGTTGTCTAGAGAGGAATAAAAACTTCTCTTGCTTCTACCTGATGTTTTAGCTTGAACAAAAGAAAACTACATCAGGCCTCTGAAAGTTCCTCACATGAACTATGCATTGAGGGATGTGCAAAGTGTTCTGGCATGCAAAGATTTGGGGCTGGCCACTACCAATGATTTTGTATCAGTCGGGCTGTGCTGTTATCCAAAGAACTCACAGAATTAGCTGGGATGGGGCCTGCAGGAAGGCCCAGAACTCACCCCTCAGTATTTGATCTTACCGATACATCGCTTTGGAGATCTGCTGTACCTATCCATTATTACTCACTACCAAGAGACACACAATACACACAGGAGAGGAAAACAAAACATAACAAACACCCTGCTTGCATCATTCCCACCTAAAATCAAAACCTTTTTTTCTGATTTTTTGTTCTTCTATTTGGATGTGGACCAGGTAGCCTTGTGCAGCTGCTAGGCAACCTGAACATTGTATTGAGTTGTACCTGTATGCATTTGCTAAGAATAAAATATTACCTTTGAGATTTACTCATAATAAGAAAACACACTTAGTTGAAAATACAATAGCTTTCCTTTCTGATCAGTAATTAGCAACTATGGGAATACAAAACTGTTGATCAGGAAATAATCCACATGTACACCACACATGCAGAGAGAGATTATAAATCAACTCCTCATAACTTTACCATAAGGAAGTACTTCTAAAAATATATTTTTATAGATGGCAGTGCTATAAAATTCTAAGAGTTACATTATGCAGACATTAGAATATCTGCATAGTATTAATAATGTATACATAAAATATGTTAAAGGATAAAGGATAATTGCCAAACATCATCTAATTAAAAAGTGAACTTTCTCACTCACAAGTCATTTATTCAGTTTACATGCAGCCACCACTCTTAAACAAGACAAAAAGAAAAAGCTTTAGAAGATTCCACATTGAAGAAACTCCAGAATCTGTTCACTGCATGTTAATAAAAATGGTAATATAAACAGCATTTAAAAAAGCAAAAACATTATTTCACTTGATCCCTCTCAGAACCACTTTACTGTTTTGTTCTCTAGCCAGCGGAACTACATTCTTCCTTAAAAGCATTATGAATATCTTTGATATGTCCTATTTCTCCATGTCCCCGAACTCTAGAGAAAAGACATTCTTTTCAAGTCTTTTTTGAGTAGATCATTTCCCAGACAGCTATGTGCCTAGCACAGCTGTTAGGAAATCTTATTATAAATACCAATTTGGGTGCTTGAGGCTTTAATGTCAACAGAGCAAACAGGTTTTGATTACATCAAAACTGAACAGAGCAGCACTCTGTTCTTGATCATTACATCTGACAGCTTATCATATCCCAATTCAAAAAAGGCCTCCCTCAAACCCAACAAAAACAACAACTAGATCTCTATCTTAAAAGCACAGATCAGCTTCTGCTAGAGATACTAACTGCAGGACAGGTCAGACAGATTGCAACACTTGCTGACACATCAGCACACTGTTAGGAGTCTACGTGCCAGGTGGCTAGCACTTGAATGGGTATGAATTTATTTAGCTTAAAAAAAAAATAAATCAACTTAAATTTATTTATTTAAGATTATTTAATCAAAGGAAGATATTCTGCTCTTCTTATCAACAGAGGCCAAAGCAAGTGGACATAGAAAGTCATTGCGATTCAGAAAGTTCAGTGGTAACCATTTGGGAGATCTTTTTCCCTCCTTTGAAACTTATATCAAGGTTATTTGTACAAAATCTGCAGCCTGCCAATTCTCATCAGCCACAGCTGCACACACTTAACTGAGCTGTGTAAGCATGGATGTGCTGAAAGAGATGCAGGTCTGCGGTGCAAAGAACATTACAGGTTTCTAACAGTGTGACTTTCTGGATTTTATATAGAAATTTCAAGTGGTTAATTTAAACACTTGCACCTTCTTCCTCACTTAAGGGGAAAAAAAAATCATATTAAACCCAATCCTAACTGGATGAATCCTAATCCAAATACGAATCTTCGATGCTCAAAATTAAAAAGATCAACATGGCTGGAAAGTTGTAAGTAAAGGCAAAGTGTTAAATGTCAAGTGACAGTGTTGAACAAATGGAAGCAGGGAGTCCCATGCTCACAGCTGGAGGTAACAGTTATCAGCAGCAGACAATGGGGAGCAATCACCTTCTGGCAGGCTCCCCTTGACCTCTGCCTTCTTCCCTGCTCTCTCACAGCTGCACCCCACCCTAAAACCAGGTAGTTTCAGGCTTAATTATCTTCTGATTTTACCTCCACTGAGCCCTCTTCAGCTGTTCCCAAGCCATTTTGTCTGTCACTGGAAGGAGCTCTGCAGAGCAGCCACCACCAGTGCCACCGCACTACATGTAGTTCCAATGCCATTCTTGCTAGTAATAGATACTGAAATGTAGCAAGTTCCTTCCTATAGCTCTTTCAATCCAGTAACTGCCTTCCATTTACAAGCACATGCTGCTAGGATAAACTAATAATTAGTGAGTCCATTTCTCTGTGTCTATGTGGGGCTTTGCTTTTTACAGAAGCAGAAAGGGTTACGCAAGGCACACTTGTAACACGTTGCAAAATAAGTTTCCAGTATTCCAAAATACGCTTGTGTTACCTGGTACACAATAGCTTACAAAAATAAATATTCTTCCAGCTGTTCTCAAAGATGACTGTTTACTTCTTGGTTTTGCAAAAAGAATTACAACAGTCTATTTTGCTTTTGTTAAGTGACAGTCACAACATATACCATTTTTCATTAAATGTTGTAAATTTAATCCCATTTTACCATTAAATATTTCTCTGAATATGGCTCAGCTGAAATTGAGCCATTGCCACCTTCCATTGGTAGTCAGAATAGACACTGTAAATCATTTTAAAAAGTTAGAAAACAAGTAGATAGAAAAACAATTTCTTTCCTACACATAGTTTCGGTGCGTTAATAGCTCCACTACTGCATGTAACCTGAAGCTACATTGACATTATAGGTTTAGGCTTATGACAGGTAGGACGTAAACAAGTCCAAATATTCTGGCTTTCTTTTTCTTTATGCTTGTTTTTGTTTTAAGATGTACACACCTAAAGCTTTTGTTAAGGTTCTTAAATCATGACGCACATCAGGGATTCCTGCAAGGAGCACAGAAATAAAGAGCACAAGTCTCCCCGGGAACTGTCAAGCACTGAAACGAACCTTTTATTGAAAATAAAAGTTCAAATCAATCTTGTTGATACTCCAGTATTACAGATACTTTAGCTAGTGCACTCTGCAGAATCAGCCTGACAAACTATCCCTTTTCATGGAAAGTTTAACATTATTAAAGCCTATTTTTCCCCAAAAAAGCCTTTGAAACAGATTTATGTAAAACTCTCCCAATTCATTTTAATTTCAGTACCTTTATAAAAAACATGCATCTTTCATGGTTCTTTTTGCCTTGCTTTTACACAATTCATTGGATAATTTCATGTTCTGAGGTTAACAAAATCAAATATAGGATAAAAGAGATATTACATTTCTTAGTGAGCCTAAAGTCTGAATATTTCCATAACTCAAACTCTTAATGGAAGCAAATAGTTCCATGCCATGTTATCTACACTGGTTTCAAAGACAGGATTTAGCAATAAAAAGAGGATCTTTCATTAAATCATTTGTTGTGTCTGGCACCCAGCCACATAGGAAGGAAAAAAAAATCATATAAAATGAGGAAAAAAAAATCCTCATTTTAGATTATCACTCTGAATTCATGACAGTCACAATGAGAATTAATGTTGTGATTGCTATACTATTGCATTGAGATCTGATAATTAAAGATTAATTCTAAATCTGCTACATATGGATCAATTAGAAGGCTGTGCTCTTGGCTGCGGCAAGGGTTGGATGGAATGCTGTGCTCACCTCCGATACTGAACCTAACCTGTGGGAGAAACCATTAATAGACAGATATTCTGTGTTACTGAGCTAGCTTCTGGAAGTTGTTTAAGCGAATGATAGCCTAATCTCTACTCTTTGAGATCTTTCTACAAAAGAGAAGAGAGTTTTGCTCAGGAATTCAGCTGAGGCTTTTTGGTACTTCAAAATAAGGTAATCTTAGCCTAGCTTTTTAAAACGTATTTAATAATTCACTGGGACACAGAGAGATAAGCACTACCAGGATCAACCCCATAGCACGAAGGCTATTTAAGTAATTTGTCAACTTCTGTCGTGAAAGAAATCACTTGCTTTTTGTAAAAATAAGCATCACGAGCTATTCACAAAATTGCTTGCCTTTGGTCTTCTGCTCTGCACTTCAGGAGATAATAGGTTTTGTTTGCCTTTTTTTGCTGGCCTTGGATGCTGTAACTCGAAGTCTGAGAAAGTCCCAAGGTGGTTTTGTGAGCAAAGGGACCCTCCAGCTTACCTGTACAAGTTCAGCCACAGGAGCAATATAAATCTATGCTAATCCACAATCTATTTCCAAAGAAGCCATATTTTACCACCACACCTCTGTTAGTTTAAAACAAAGCATTTTTTGAAAATGCTGGTACTTACCCAAATCTGCAGTTTCACCCGCTTGTCATTCCTATAAACGGTTTTCACTTTGAAGTCAATTCCTACTGTGCTAACGAAGGCTGGTGTAAACGTGTCATCCGCGTATCTGAAGAGGAAGGACGTTTTACCCACACTGCTGTTGCCAATGATCAGGAGTTTGAACATGTAATCAAAATTTTGATCTGAAGTATCTTTCTGCCTGTATCTGGCATCTGTTACTGAAGCCATCTAAGAAAATGACAAACATTGAAACAGAACAAAGTTAAGAGCAGTTAGTGTTTGTTTTCCTTAACTGTACATCCTGGGTTTAGCTTCTCTCTCTGCTTTCTAACAACATAAGCATTATATACTCAAGAAAGAGGAATGCATCTGGAAATCCTCTTCATAAAGTCTGACTTTTAATTTCTGTTATTCCTTTGCACTGGTAAGATTTTCAAACCCAACAAATGCACCCGTTACACTGCTTTGTTTTAAAAAGAAAAACAGATGGCTACTGCTAATGGTTCATATACTAGTGGGAAAACAATTTTTACTCCAATGGCAGGATGCCAGTTCTGTTGCTCTGATAAACTTAAGTACTGCAACCAAAAACCGAAGTCTTTGACAGTGCACCATATTACACAATGTAGTAAGCTGCCACTGGGGCAGGTATTTCCTTTTATACCTTTTATAACTATAAAAGGAAATCTGCATTACTATCTCATGCACCACCCTAATTAGATTTTTATAAAAGCTCTTCCTTCAAAAATGAAAAAAGAGAAAAAAAAACCTTAGCCATAGGATGAGATAAAACATCAGTGGGCAAAAAAGAACTTCAGTTAACAACTTTGAATCCATCCAGCATTTACCTACTCTCAGGACTGTGGAAAAAAAAAAAAAACCACAACAACAACAAAAACAAAAAAGATGCAGCCACAAAGATCCCTCCTTCTCTGGTGACCCTGCAAGTGACTTCAGAAACCGAAAAGTAATAGGGGAATCTGAAATACTGAGTCAGCTGGAGCTCATCAAGCAACCCATCTGCTTCAACGCACACAGCTCAGATACTTGATAGGAAAAGGCCAGTGTCCTTTTCCCTATATTTGTGTCGTTGCCTTCTGCTGTGGTACAGACTGGATTTATCACAGAGAGGAGCAAAAAGAAGCTTGGAAGAATTTCCCCCGTAACAGCTATGCCAGCTTTTCATCTTTAAAGTTCCTTTCAAAACCTAGCCCAAGTCAAACAACTTGGCCTTGGCCCCCAAGAATCAGTCAGGAGGTTGCGTGAACTAGGACAATGACAGCAGCGCCTCTCCCACCAAACTAGGACATGTGTTATTGACTTGCTATGTCAGAATGCAAGATCTGGAAGGAGGCTGAAGTCTTTTCCTCTGCCAGCATTCAAAGAAGTTAATATTTCCTTCAACGTGGACTCACAGGCATCTTTGGGAACAAAACTCCCATCAACATCTACTCTGAGCATTTACCTGAATACTTCCCTTTTTTATCAAGTCTCATCCACATACAGGACTTCACTCACTTGCTGGATGGGGAAAAAAAGGAATACAAAAACGCAGAACAACAAAGAAGTTTTTAAATCCTATATAGTTAAATGTCTATAAACCGAAATTCTGTTCAAAACTGATTTGAAATAGGATATCAATTTAACCTAGGTTCCCAAAAGAGGGGAAACAAACCAAAGCCATCTCAATCCAGACTTCAGTACAGTATGTACAAGTGTTCAGCTCTGGTTAAATACAAGCAGTTTTCTCACACAGACAAGGCCTGGTACAGCAGACAGGTTGTTCATAGCCTGCACATTAATGAGGACAGCTTCTGAAGAACTTCAGCAATAGCTCAGGACTCAATAGCTCCACTGAACACGGTAATATTTTCCCACAAATGAGTATCTACAGGATACACTAAAATTCTGATACATACAGGTCTTAACTTCAACTGCTATTAAATAAGATTAAGGTCCTTTGCAAGCATTACAAAAAAATCAAGTACAATTTTTCTTCTGACTAGTGTATCAGAAAAAAAGTCTTTATTCGTACTTTGTGGTTCTTATTAGAAATTTTTAAAATGATGGATTCAACACCAACTGACTTACACGCACATGCTCATGGAAATATGCATACACTGCCAGTTTCAAATAGAAAACTCAGCTGCAAAAATAATAAATCCAAATGATTCGTTGATTTGTGGCATCACCAAGCAGAAGATAGAGACAAGTTCTATATTTGAGTAATTTATCTTCCTCATACCCACATGTGATTTCTACAAATGCCAACGCACACGTGCAGTTGCTAACATGGAAAGAAATTCTTCTCCATTCTGCTCACAGGGCTTGAAGAGTGATTTGTCCTCATCACTTGAAACCTGGTCATTTGAAGATGTACAGGTAGACCTTTAACGAAGAAGTATCCCACTAATCAATATCATTTTCTTCTACTACCCTCATGGAATGCACTCACATGCTTCAAGACAGCCTTTTAACTGAAACACTGCAGCCTCCATTAACCCCCTCACTGCTGTCACCCAAAGAGAACCTGGCTACAAATGCTACTTTCAAATCTCAGTTAAAAAAGCAATTACAGAACACGACCAGCTAGAGCAGCTTTGTTAGAAGCACAATGTAGCAAATAAGATCAAATGACAGTTGGACAGAAAGTGCTGTTGTCATAGAAGCACAACGGTCGCTGCCGCGGGCTCACGACCGTGCTACGCGAAGATGCTGCAGTTCGGTTCACTGAATTATTAGAGGCAGGGTCAGAGCGCAGAATTTTCAAAGGCGAATTCTATCTCCTTGCTTCAATTTGTCTTTTCCCTCTCTCTCCTCCGATCAGTAGAGTGAAACTGGAAGGATAGCCGTGCTAATGACTGCAGATAGCTGGTGAAGTTGTACTCCACAAGCATTTAGTCTGGAAGGGTTCACAAGGCTGCATGAGCATACGTGCTTGTAGCCTTGAGGAAGAAATGAGCAGACCCGTCTCCTCTTCTCATGCTTCCCTTTGCTCACCCACTTGTTGTCCCATCCCTGTTTCCTGCTTATGCCAATGCTAATAACTGCACAGTGAGCTGATTCCTGGTAAAAATAATTCCTCCTAATATTTTTTCGAGTTTTCCAGGCTAGTTTTTTCCTTAAGTTGGTTCTGTTGTCTACTCCAGTAAGCAAAGCTGAGCGACCAAAGAGTGGGAAGGGATGGCAGTCGCTGTGCTACCAAGAGAAAGGTCCATGTAACCACCCCTCCTGCTGGCCTCCTGCACTGAGCCGGAGAGAGAAGCGGAGAAAATATCAGACAGCTCCCTGCAAACTCGTCCAAATAATGCAAGAGAGAAGCTTGCAGTGGTTTCTATCTTGACTGTTTTGAAACAGCCCTCAAGGAAATTCCTCTACAATATTTAACTTCATCACAAAAAAAACACATTGTGCGGAAGAAGAAAAGCTGCCAGTGAGAATGTCACTGAGAAATCCTTAGTATGAGCCCTTGCATCTTTTGGTTGTTTGCCTGGGTAGCCCATTTCTCTGTAGGTAAAAGCTGATACGGACAACTTATTCTCCCTATGTTTTAGAAACAGGATCAGAGTCTCAAACATACCCATTTGCTTCTAGTTTTGTGAGAATTGGCTGTTGCATAGCTAAAAGATACATATTGAAGGAAAAAAAGTCCATAGTGTGAGCTCATGTTTTATTAGACCAAGAATCCATATAGGAAGACCACTCTATGAATATTGTAATAACAATAAAAAAATTTATTTAGAGCTTATTGGACCCGCAAGAACGTGCTCCTCAGTCAAGATGTCTCTCCAGCCTTAGTTTTCTACTTTGGTCTAAAGCAGTTTAAGAAGCAGCCAGTTGCCCTAAGATACCTCCAACGGAAATCAGCTTACACTGGAACCAGTGCTCAAATACATCATCAAGATACTTCCACGCAGCTTCATTCTTTATGGTTTGTGACTATCACTGTAGCGAAGAACCAAATAGTTTTGCAGGGTAACATGAACCATCCAAATATTACTGCTCTTACAAATTAGTAACATTGGTTAACTCTTACCCCAGCTCTTCAATATTTAGTGCCTAAGCCAACTCCTATGAAAAGCAATATACAAACTGTCTAAACTGATGCTGTTGGAAGAAGCGGATGGAAATCAACTGGCGTATCTTGCCATCTATTCACTTCTATAAAAACAACTATTGACTTCAAATGTTTCCAGTCATTAGCATTTTGCCTAGAAGCTAGTAGTTCTTCTAGATCTGCTCACAGGCAACAAACAATATTGAGCCTTTTCTGTAACAGCCACACATCCTTGTTCAGAGGCATGGGTGTTTTCATGTCCCACTCTCTCTCACAATATAGCAAGGAAGGAGTCCAAATTACCATTGGCAAAGGGTCCTCCTGACTGCTCTTAGTCACTTTAGTCAACAGGGAAAGGCAGTCAATGCTGATGGAACTTAAAGCTATACATAAAGTAATATTTGCACTGAATCCATGTGTTCTCTGTTATGAATTCTGTGTATTTCTAAAAATAAAAATAAATTTCAGTATTACCATTGCATATTTCTAAGCATCAAAGCTTTTATGATAGCATGCTAGTTCAGATTAGCTCCAGCCTAGCTTTACATATGTTGAGCAACTGAGCCTCCACTGTTTGTCTGACGTGCTATTTTGCTGGCTGACAAAGCTATTGTGGATAGGGAGCAGTCCTGTGTTGCATAGTCAAAATTTTCTTTTCATACTTCCATTTTACTATTTTGATGTTCCGGGTATTAAGATTAGATAACAAAATAAATAATACACACAAACACAGAATATGAAGCTATTACCATCAGTTTAAAGTAAATTAGTGATAACACAGGCAACAAGAGAAGGGTGCAGCTGCACCTTTTAGACTCCTTGGATATCCATAGTTACTAGCAAATGTGGAAGGAAAACAGGAGATTAGATACAGTCACTTCATAAAAACAGAAATAATGTGGCTCGGTAAAGGCAGAAGTAGGAAAAACTATATAGTCCTAAAGTCAAAGATTATTGACCTGCCCAGGCTCTTCTGGAAATATAGGAAAGCAGCAAATGCTTCTGGAAAATAGAACAGACTATGGGAACTACTCTGTAAGTTAGGGAGTAGGGAAGAAGAGGAAGAAAAAAGAGGGCTAAACCAAAAGATTCCTTTCATCTCTAATATTTACTACTTAGCAGTAATCCGTGAGAAATGTTATTCACTTGCAGCATATCCTCTTTTCAAAAGACTTAATATTGTCTTTTTTTTTTCCCTCCATACAATATCTTAAGGAGTGCACCTATATCAAAAATAGCCTAGTTCACAAACAACACATTTACGGCACTTCTCTGTTATAAGATCTCACTCCTTTATGTCTTCTGTCATCTGTTTGTTTTTTTTTTTTCAGGAATTAAATTAAAACTTAAATCAGATTTCTATCAAGTAATGGATTTTTTTTTTTTTACAGCCAATGTATGCTGCCCTAAGAATAAATGTAATAAAGGAAACTCATAAAGAAAACACAGCCATGACCTTAAGGAGACTTAAACAGTGCTAGAACTACAAAAGAGATTCAGCAGAAGTAGCAAATGCGTTACAAATAACTAACATAACAGCTAATAAGTATTGCAAAGATAGTTACCAATTTAGATCTATAATCCATGAGACAGATGGAGGCTTTCCTGTGAGTATATGAATCAAGAGTGGCCACACTGTTGAACCTGCGATGTAGAAGCAAAAGGATTACAGCGTTTACAATAAAGATGGATAATGAGAATATTACATAGGGGACTAATGAGCAGATAGGTTAGATTGTGAAAACGTGCAAGGGCCTGAATGTGCTTCACTGGGGCAAAACCCCATAGTATACAACAAGAATGGAAACACTGCTCGAGTTACTGACAGATATTAAGTTAACAGTAGATATCTGCAGCCATCAGAGATTATGGAGATTAATCTAATGTTTAATTTCCAGGTAAATTCTAGAAGTGGACACAACCTCAGAAATGAGTCATTACACATTTCCTGCAGAAAGCCAGCAAAGCAAATGGTACCAAGGAGAAGCTGAAGCATATCTCTATGTATTTTTGTTTTGCACTAAGCCTGGGTCAAAGTCTACTCAGTTACTGTGCTGCAAAAGCCAACTACAACAGGACATGTAAATGGCTGCAGATCCCCTTGCAGAACATCCATATAAAATAAAGGCCTTAAAGTAATAGTTATTCCAGGTTTAGAGCAGAAAAATCTAACAGCATTTAGTCCTCCTCTTCATGGCTAATATAATCTAAAGGCTAACTTTGCCCTAAGTGCTTTTTCTTCTCCAGTCAAAAAGGGCAAACAGCTGTTTCGTTGTCCCAACTTGCACTACATGGCTTTATGGAGCCTGCTGAAAAACTCGGACAAATTCAGACTTTGTGTGAGTAATAAACTGTAGCTACCTGCCCTGGGCCAGAATTTGGACCAAACTCTTTCTCATAATCCACACAACTGTGTGCCTTGCTTGGCACACAGAACAGCTCCATGCTCTTGCACAAATTATTCCACATTTTTCAATTCTGATTCTATTTCTCTGTGTCTTCACAACCCTGTTCTCTGAAACAGTTCATTGGTTTTTGTGACAACCTTTGTCTCCCACCTCAGCAGCGCCCACCATTTCAGCAAACTTGTTTTTGAAGCTTCATCCCAACAGATTAACTGCTCCATAGAGAAAAAAAAAAAAAAGTCAACAGACAGCAAAGAGCAAAAACAAAAGGAAATCTCCGTGTGTGTGTGTGTGTGTGTGTGTGTGTGTGTGTGTGTGTGAGAGAGAGAGAGAGAGAGAGAGAGATGGAAACCTGAAGTGGATTTTTCTATCCAGAACTAAAAAATATAAACATTAATGAATCCAGATGTCTTAACATTTAGACTCTTGCAGTGAATTTGCTCCAGAATTCACATGGTATATGTGCCTCCAATATATACAGGAAAGTTTCAGGATAAAAACCTTTAAAAATGAGTCCTGTTATTTATATTACCCTTCCAGATTTGGGAGCAGAGAGACTTCGAAGAGTCTCCTAACAATTTGCTGGATGTAGAAGAAAACAAGTCAAGAATCTTTGGATATCATCACTTTCTATCAGCTCCCCGACTTCACATTTAGGCACACAGCAGGCTGGAATTGTTGTTAGAAAGATTTCCTCGAATCAAATCGATCTTCCCATGTCTGGAACAATGCCTCTCCCATTTCCTGCCTAAATGGGCAACATCCTTACACTCCATTTTGGGACCATGGCAAAACTCACACAAAGAAAGGCATAGTTCCATTATTTTTAAAATGGCGAAAATGTAAAGAAATAAAAGTTTCTGTATTTTCACTCTTGTTTTTGATCAATTTCATTGTGGTCATTTTATTATCACTTGGTTTAACACCTGTTGACAAACATGCTACACTACGAGATAAAAAGATTTAACTGCATAAAGTCCTCTCTTTCCAAAGGAGGACTTCTAACACAGCCAGGTTCCCTGCCCTCCCAGCATATGCAGGGAATGATAGAGATTCATATCCTCTTTTTGCCCTGGAGAGCAAAAGCAGAGTAGATTTCCTCAACTGCCTTAACATCCCAGTGAGCCAGGAAACCATGGGAAAACAGCCACTTTTGGGAGTCACGGACCTCTGGCTTGCCAAGGCCGACCCTGAGCCTAGCCTTGTCCCCAGAGAACAGCAGGAGCTGAAAAGGTTGATCCTGTTACAAAACACACAGTCATTGAAGCACTTGCTTCCTGTTACAGACACTGCAGCGATGGTTAGAGATAACGGATTCGAAACATCAACTCTCTGGTTTTATGTTTCTGCCTCAGTTTCCCCATGCATAAAAACGGAAATGACTTAATACCTCGAGTATTTCATTACTGAATACACTGAAGTAGCATGAAGTACTTCAAGTAGCATAATGAAATAAAATTTTAAAAAGAGTAATACAGGACGACCCCCTCTCAGTTCTGCTGCAACACATTAAGCCCTGTGCTGATCTCTCCCCAGCCAGGGGCAAGCACTAGCTAACTTCTGTGCAGGGAGGGAGCCTCAGCACAGAGGAAGCGGTGACCACACTCCCTCAATGTAGTGGTTGATAGAGAAAGCTCAGATACAGGACGAAATTCACACGATTCAGAGATACTGACTTCGGTCACATGCAGATTCAGGTAGACTCTACCCCATCAGGATGCCCAAGACAATATTTACAGATTTCTCTGTATGACCAGGAGGTCGGAATTCTTTCATTTATAAGAAAAACAAGTTGGTATCCCAACCTAACAAGGCACCTGGAGATTAGTAGTGCCTTGTAATAACCATTTGTAAATCTGAACAGCTTGCAGCCATGGCCAGCTCAGGATGCCTCTGCAGGGCAGATGGAGTTGTATCTTGCTGCCTTTTTTCCTCATCTCCAAAGCAGAAAATTGATGGTGAAGAACTTAGTATCTCCATGCTACCATGTTCCCCCTGCTGTGAGGTAAACCAGCTGCTAACCAGGACTAGGACGCAAGTGCCCTCCCTGACAATTCTCATGCTTAAATTCCCAAACATAAGCCTTACTGCTTATTCCAAAGACCATGTACTCTCACACTGCAGTAAGTTAAGCACAAGAGCTCTCTAAGCACTGCACAACTTTAGGCAGAAGATACAGTTTTACAGAATAGAGAATAGTTGAAATTATCATGTCAGGACATTTCTCAACGTCAGCCTGATATAAGAACTTAAAAAAAAAAAAAAAAAAAATCCTTCCTCAGCCTTTAACTAGCAACAGCCACAGACCTGGGGGGAGGTTGGGAGGACACGAGTCTCCTTCCCTTGTGTTACCACTAGCTGGTGTGATGCAAGATCCATGCTGTTCAGATTATGGTGAAAAAAAAAGTCAGAGTAAGAAAAGCTCTTTGCAACACACATCAACTAACACAAAACTTAAGGGATGCTGACAACTCATGTGCTGATAAATACATCACACTCATTGCCTTGCTACAGGTAAGATGTATCAAGAAGAACTATTGAAAATAAATTGTGAAGTGTTCAGTGGTTTTTATTACCTGTAAATGTAGCAGACTTGCAAAAGGACAGTACATTTTTGTCAAAGTTACAAAAACTGTCTGATTTAAAGATTGCCTTATTTGCCTCTCATCTGACTTCTATCACAAATTGTCCTGACAGAACCAACTCTTGAAGACAGCAATCACACCAAGGCTTCAGTATAGGTTTATCTACATATATATATATATATATGTATAACCTCTTCCAAGATAGCAAGTGCAAAGAGTAAGAAGGAAAAGCTTTTAAATTATACGCTCATATACAGCGGCATATGCGTTTATCTTTCACCCACTATAACCTAATGCCAATAGCCTCATGATCAGACACTGAAGTTAAAACTGCCATTCCATTGACATTTCCTACTTCTACAGACAAAGAAGAAGTGAGGGGAAGAAAAAAAAAAAGGCAATCCAAATACAGGAGTATTATTTTAATCTGGAATGAATCAAAAAGCATGCACAGAAACATGAACCATTGTCTCATACCAAGGAAAAAAAAAACAGGTTGGAATTTATCTCTTTTGTGGTCAGGTTAGTGGCACTAATCTAGGTCAGATCTACCCAACACGCTGCACAGGGACAAGAAGGGAGGCAAAGGACAGTGGAAACGCTGGTCTCGGTGAGGCTGCCTGCGATCCCTCAGTATGGCACATTACTGCAGGGCATCCCCGTGCTGCTGGCACAGACGAGAATCCATCACCTCAAAACACATGGCAGAAACGATGCTCGTAGTGCACAAGCTGGAGAAACGGGCAGTTTCAGGCTTTTTGTAAATGAGAGGGGGACGATGAACCTGCTTGGCCTCACCGCGTGGCAGCGAGGCACAGGTGAGATCTCCTTGCCTGGCCATGGCAGCTCTCCCCGCTTTAACAGCCCAAAGCCAAAATCGCCCGTGTCCCAGGAGCTCGTTTCACTACCGTTCACCTGTGCCGAGCTTTTTACTTTCTTGTATTTTTTTCATTGTTCGGTGAGCAGCAAACAATCCCACAGAACGATAGAGACCGGCCAAAATCACCCGCTAGCTGCAGGGCAGCTCGGCAGATCCGTCTGATGATCCCCCCAGGCTCTCCGTCTATTTTAAGTATAAAACACCACTATTTCACCTTTCACGCCCAGTAAACCCTCCTTTCTTTTTGCAGAGGAGGTGCGTACAAGCGCTCCCTGACGCGTTTCTCCCCAGCTGCCCCCGAGGCACAGCCTCTGCCTGGGCACCTCCCGGCGCCGGCTTCCCGGGGCGCTCGGCCCGGGGGACGCGGCGCGCCGAG